AAAGACTCTCCGGTGGCTGGCCCATAGGCTCTGCGGTCTTTTGTGGAGCTTCCGATGGCAGAGAAGCGAGGCCGCTTGATAAATCGGCACGGATGGTAGACAAATATCATGGATAATGGATAGCTGGTCGGCAACTAGGGCCTGTGCCCCGGGGGGGACTCCCTAATATCAAAGGGCGGGGGTCCTCGGCGTCCCTTTTAGGGTTTGAAATCGGTATTTTGGTCCCGCTTAGGGTCATAATAACCCTTGCTTGCAGTCAGGACAATGATGAGAAGGGACAGCACAAAAGGAGGCTAAAAGAATTAAGACCCTTTTGATGCAGCGAGTGAATTAATTGCGTCTTTTGCAAGACTGTATTTTCCAGCTAGACACAAGACCCCTTTTGTGATGTACCCTCTCATATATATATGAGAGGGTACATCACAAAAGGGGTCTTGTGTCTAGCTGGAAAATACAGTCTTGCAAAAGACGCAATTAATTCACTCGCTGCATCAAAAGGGTCTTAATTCTTTTAGCCTCCTTTTGTGCTGTCCCTTCTCATCATTGTCCTGACTGCAAGCAAGGGTTATTATGACCCTAAGCGGGACCAAAATACCGATTTCAAACCCTAAAAGGGACGCCGAGGACCCCCGCCCTTTGATATTAGGGAGTCCCCCCCGGGGCACAGGCCCTAGTTGCCGACCAGCTATCCATTATCCATGATATTTGTCTACCATCCGTGCCGATTTATCAAGCGGCCTCGCTTCTCTGCCATCGGAAGCTCCACAAAAGACCGCAGAGCCTATGGGCCAGCCACCGGAGAGTCTTTGGACCAAACGGTGAAATCACGGAAAAAAGCAATACTCATAGAAACTGATGTGCAGGTGGTCGAAAAAACTCACCAAGCAAAACGTTCACGCCTCGCTGACAGTGTGCCAAACATTGCTGAGCTCATGGCCGCGAGCTCTGATTTGGAGGACGACCCAGACGGTCTTACCTCTCCTAACTCCCGCGGGCAGGAAAGTGATATGAAAGAAGGGCATTTGTAAGGGAATTTCCACGTCCAGCATCACCCCTACCTTAGATAGCTACCTGATATCTATGATACGTATAGGATAATGGATGAGCTCCGAGGCTTATTGAAAAAATGCTCAATAAGCCGAGGAGCGAGGCCATTATCCCATTTAATACACACTTTCATTGTTTTCGAAGGAAAACCACTTACTAGTAATTCCCAAAGGATTCATTAACATAACTATTTTTCTCGTCAGTCTCATGGGACCAATACTAACAATGTCTTCTGTAACGAGCCTCAAGAAAAAGTTAAATTAATTTTATGTTCTGTTTCTGACATCGGTAGTCACTGGGCATACAGTGTTAGGTGTAGGATTCGTAAGGGAAAGGTTGCGGGTTCGAATCTGGTTGATGTCAATTGATTTTTTCTTTACTTCAAAGATTTCCAAAGAAAATTGACCATTTCATATCTAACAACAAATTCAAATTTAGAAATAAATGAAATGGGAGTATAGTTCATTAAGTATTCAAGAAAAATAATAAACTCTAGCTCCAATAATAACCTCTTGTTTCAAGCCAGTGACTGCAATAATGACCTATGAATAATTAGATGCCGACATGATCGGAAATAGTGACTACTTCAAAACAATGAAAGTGTGTATTAAAATGAGTTTAAACCTCTGATAACTCATTGCGAGAGCAAAGGATCTTTGTAATTTTGTAGTGTGCAATTATTAATAAATTTGTTGTTTTGTTGTTGTTGTTGTTGTTGTTGGTGTTGTTGTTGAAGGAAGTGCAGGACAAGATTTTGGATGTTCTGTGTACAATGTATGAGAACATAAATATGATGTATGAGACACTAGAAAACCATGTGACCTTCTGTGGATAAAGCATCTGTAGTCACCATGTTTCATCATATCAAGAAGGCTATCATCCTTGTTGGGGATACCTCGTCCCAACTCTCATCCAAGAGGCGTGAGCCAGTTCTGACTAAACCGAACCCTGCCTTGTCATCTTTGGGAAAGGATTGTGGCAAAATGCAGTTTGGAGATGGATTTCAGACTAGTTTGAAACTTCGATCCGAGACTCCTGATACTGTTAGTAAAGTTAAAACAGCAGAAAAACAGTTTTTTGGTGGGGCTGCAACCCAGAGACTCCAAGGACGATTCAGAGGTGGCGGCAGCCAATACCGCGGGTTCTTTAGAGTTTTACCGACCAAAGGAACCCCGAGTAAAAACGGACGTACTGCAATCAAAATAATGGTTATACGAATCTGGTCGAACAAACGCCGATTGATACCCGAACATAGCTATATAAAAATAAACATCCAATGGCAAGCGGTATAAGAATGGCGTCTTTATCAGCCAATTACAAAGCGCCTTAGTTCTTTGTTTGCCAGGGGTCTTCTCTGTAGCGTCCGCCATTTTGAAAATAGCTACAGAGAGGGCACTGGGAACGAGGTTGGTAACAACTAACTGTAACAACTAACCAGCAACAACAGCATTCTAATTGGCAACAAAACTGTGGTCTATTAAAACGAGTCGGTAAGAAAATGAATAAAATAAACCTGAAATACACGAATAAATACATGAATAAATAAAAATTTAGGAAATGCCCAGATCGAGTGAAGCTGTCTTTTTTAATATTCTTATTTCAAAAAGTTTGGATACTAAAACAATCAGATGCTCGGTTTCTTTGTCTAAGAATTTATAAACTAGTCCAATTCGTAATATACTGTTAAATATTCTTCGTATAATGTAAGTTTATTTCAAAGTCTTTATCGAAGAAAATCTCAAAAATTTTATCATCTAAATGCTTTGCATTTGTGTTTATGAAGGTGGCATGTTCTATTTTAAGTAATCTAGTGTCTAGAGCAGAAGTAACTTGGCTTGGTCTTAGCCTTTACTAATTTCTGCAAAGTTGTAACATCGGAGAGGGATCTTTTAATGAATCCGTTTCCAAAAGATCACTCGTGTTCTCTGTTCTGTTTTCATATAATCTTCATCCAGATGGACCAGCTCCAGATAACAGATCAGTTTAGTTCAGTTTCATTTACTGTTGAGGGGCTTTCATATCGAATTCATTCAAGATGATATAATAATCTGTCGAAAGACAAACTGGTGACAAGTTGATTTTCAAGGGTTTGTGCAAACATATTTGGAAGAAATATGACTGGTAATATTTCGTTGAAGACTGCGGAAACGTCAATCATCAAATAATCATCAGAAGAGTATGTTTCAATGGAAAATGGTTCCGATAATTCAAGCCCTTCTACTTGCAATCCTCTCTGTATTTTGTAATTATAAGTTTGAACAAGTCATGTTTATAAGCGTCGGCCATTAATAGAGTTTCAGGTAGTTTGTTGTTCGGATGACCAAATACTAATTAGAAGAAATATTCTCTTTAATATTAATACTTTAATTTAAAAAGTTTAATTAAAGAAARTAAAGAAAGGACAAGTTATTCAGTGAAATTAGAATATCAAATCAAATCTCATCGCTTCAGTCATTCGAACCTCTGGTGAAGGTAGGGTGCAATAGCGCTCGTGTAAYCTTTCAACAGTTCCTTTGCTGAATTGTAATGAACTTTATCTTTATATTCCTTCATTTAGGTGAGATTCATCAGAAACATGGCAAGTCCTACCCAAAGATGGGTTTTACTTCTCTCTATGTGTCTATTGCTGCARCAGTTCTCTCCAGCATACACAGCACACTTCCRTCACCATTCTGTATCGTATTCTAAACAATCTGTGAAAGGTACTAAATAGTGGTTTCATTTCSAATATTATTATTGTTTTTTTTTATTATATGGCAAGTGCTGCTTACGGTGAAATGACGCATTCTGATAGGTAGATCCAGCCGTAATGCCCGTGGTCAATATGGAAAAGTAGTATTTCTTCATCAGAAAGTGAATTTGATGAGAGCAAAAACGTAGTTTTTTCCCATATTCTTTTCATTTCTGATAACACATGAGCTTAGTGAGTCGGTGCTTGTTCAAAAATTGACATTGCTGTCAATGAAAATGTGTTTTTTTTACTTTAATTCAGAACAAGCCCAAAAAAGAGGAGTCATTTGGGATACACTAAAGCTTGTGGGCGGTAAAGCACTGAATGTCGTCACCTACAGTGCAAACGTGCTAACGTTCACAGGAACCATGTTGCAGGCTATATATGGATGCAATATCACAGAACCGGAGATACCAAGGTTATTTGAACAAGTCTGCGCTCTTAAAWCACAATACAAAGATCTGAGAGATGATATATATGATATATCGTGGGCAGGTATATTCTTATCGTAGCTTCGTTTGTAATTAAGTATAYATATGCATTATTCATTATTTTATGATCTTCAATGTTGTCTTACATATCGTTCTTATTACACCACCTTGGCATTAAGAACAACATTAGGAAGAATTGTCATATGTTTAATATCATTTTTCCCGTAAATTAATTTATATATAACGTATCAAACTCACACTTTCTAAAATTGTAGAGATATCACTTGACGAACAAGTTACCAACACGACATATCAGGGGCGGTGGAGCGTTTTTGGGCGGGCTAAGAAGATTAATTGATATAAGAAATCCTTTTTTATTCATCAAGCTTTCCTTTTGCAGTAAATATAACTGTTAATGAACAACCTTTATGGAAAATACAACCAGCTTTGCATCATGAAACAAAATTTAATTTTCAAAAATACTGGGGGGAGGGGGGTGCAGCCCCCAGTCCCCCCGGTTCCGCCGTCCCTGCTATATGAGCTATAATAATGTGTTATCATGAAGAAGCAAACAGCACTGAGCAGTACACAATAAAGTGGTCGATCTCCCAGTTCACTCTCATTTGGCTTTGATTTGCTCATTTAATGGCTATTGAATCTTAGAGAACCTTTGAGTTCTTTTTGTCCTTTTTATAAATGATCTCACATTTGAAAGAAACTTTCTGATTGGCTTAAAATTGTGATGTCTAATTTTCGTATGTGTGAAAATCGCATGAACATCGCATTAGATGCATGTGGCCTTTGGTTAAAGATTTTTAGTCCATGATGAATATCTTTACGTCCTCATGATAAACAACACCAAAATCATTTAAATTTCCGCTTAAAATTCCTTATAGTTGTGTCCACTCTATGTCGCTTAAAACCCACTCAAACATTGAATAGGGGAAGAAGAGCTTGGAAAATTATTAGAAAATTGCGAGCCATGGCCATGGTCATGCATGGTAGTTACAACAAATAGACAGGTTTTCAGTGTTATATCGGGGTAGGGTTTGTGAAAACATGCAAACGTTGAACATTAAAATATGCTATTCTGCTCCAACTTCGCACGTTCGAATCTTCAAAAGTTCCTCATGCTACTGTTGAAGATTTTGAATTTTAGCTAAGCAAGACTCATCCAATCATATTAGAACTTAACTCTCTCTTTGTTTGTTTTCTAATAAATGTTGTTTTCAGGAGTAGTGTTAGTCTTCTCTCACAGCCGTTAGGACGTTCGTTCCCAGGTCACTCGTGTCCACTTTGTATATGTCTGACAATATATGACTTCTCCAAATATAAAATCAATTTGATTTTTTCTCTTCAGCAAGAGAAACTCAGATCTACGCAAACGATT